ACATGCTACTGAATGTCATCTGCTTTACACACTTTTTCACTAGTATGCATTGACCCCTTAGCATTAATCGTAATGTTCCTGCAAGCTTAGCAAAATAATGTGCTGAAATTCAAATAATTGCAAGCATATCTCCCTTATACATTGAAAACAACCCACTTTACATTTAGAAAGAGCAATGCGGACAATTCCTGCTTGTTTCTCTGTTTTGTAGTGAAGCACCTTCTTCAGGATATGTCAATAGGCTAATTGCTAGGCTAACTGTCTAGATGTTTATGTAGTACACTTCTAGCAATACCATGAAGGAAATAGTTGGGAAATGAAAGGTAATAACTGTTTACTGTAAAATGTTTGGATGGCTGGTTGAGGTGAAAAGGATTACAGTAACATAGAAAATCATGTGCTTAGCGGTTAGCTAAAGACACTGTGACACTGAAGAATGGAATGCTGCTGCACAGGAACAAATTACATTTTAAAATATATTGAAATAAAAAAACTATTTTAAATTGTAATAACATTTCACAATATTACTGTTTTTGCTGTATTTTTCGAGTAAACTAATTTAGCCTTGAAGAGCATGAGAGACTTCAAAAACCTTTAGAAATCTTACCAACTGAAAACTTTTGAAAGATAGTGTACATTCACATGACAATAAGGCAGGGAGGATATGCATTCTGGGAATCTAATGTTCATAAATATTCTCCTCCAAGGGATTTCTTTAAGACTGATATCCATAATCACTTCCTCTTGAATGTGGTGATGCTATATAGTTACTGCTACTCGTACAGTCTGCAGGCTTTGTGTGTTTAATTTGATGTTTTATCTGTATACCAGCTTTTGAGGTGAACAGATTAAAGTGAACATTTCCTTTCTCTCTCTGGTAGAATTAACTCACTCATCTCTTTTAGTATCTCTTTCTCTCACACATACTCACACACCACACAAACACAGTTAGAAGGTTTTTTGGATTCTCATTCTGTGGTCTAATTGGATTCTAATAGGAGTTTTCCTCCCTAGAGTTCTCTGATAAGTTAATGGTCTGTGAATTGGTCTTTCTTCAATCTCCAATCTCACTATGTGTGTGTGTGTGTGTTTTAGTGGGCCATGAGAGACCTTAGAGGGAAAAAGTACCACTGGCTTTATTCACCGTTTTAAATGCTTTCATTAGTGGTCACATTAGGTCCCTCTCTCTCTCTCTTTTTAGTTTGTACAAGGCAGAAACCAGAAGACGTTTACAAGATGTTTATATGTTTCCAGTTTTAACTACAGCGTAATCTATTTTATATTAACTCTAATTTATTGAGGCGGAATAGAACTCAAGCCCAGCTCACTTTACAGAGAGATGTGCTTTATTGATCTCTGAGGGGTAATTTAGCAAGCACACCATGAGTCTGAATCGAACAGGGGTTGCAGCGGCCAAAACACTGAATACTAGCCATCAAAAGATCATAAAAAATTGTTTGCCACCTCTGCAACAGTGTATTTTCCTGTGTGTGTGTGTATATATATATATATATACATACATACATACATACTGTATATATATATAATGTAAATTCGTAAAAACAAAAGCATTAATTTAATAATCAATAATTAAGTAGGATAAATTAATTATTTTCTACCATTTTCTCTTGACAGAATGCCAATTTTTCAAATTAAATTTTATTTTATTTTTATTTATTTATTTATTTTATTTTTTTTTAATTTTGCCATTGGGTAAAATAAATGAGAATCTGAATCCTCTTTCTGACTGCTGAACCTAGAGTGAGTCAGTCCACGGTCTCACAAAGTAAATCATGATGAATCCCGTACTTTCCATATTAATCTCAGTGTTTTTTCCCAGACAGCCATGTTCACAGCAACACATTTTGTCAGCTCCTTGGTTTCTGTTTTCATTGTGTTGCGCTGGATGTTACAGGCCAAACACATTGGTTGTGTGGGTTTCATCAAGTGTTCAAGTGCCTGTAAACCTTCTTGAGCAGTAACATTAAGCTCTGATAAGAGCCGCATTAAATTCCATCTGTTTGCAGTGTGCTTTTATTTGTGATAGTGGGAAATGAACTGTGCTGTTGGAGTCTTTCTCTCTCACTCTTCTGTTGTCCTTGGATGGGAGAAAAGGCTCAGGATAGAAATGGCTGACAGCCCAGCTCTTTAGAAAAAGAATCCTGTCTCTGACAGTGTGTACTCTCACCCGCTGGCGCACACACACAAGTCACAGGTAGACACTCGCTTTTTTGACACTGACAACCATCCTAACAAACCACACAAGATACACACACTAACACACAAATACACATTTCTATGGCCCAAGATAGCATTATATAAGAATGAAATGCTTTGCTAATTGCTAAAAATGAACAGAACAGAACAGGATAAAGAACAGGATACTAATGAAAGTTTTGCAGGCACAAGCATTTGGCTGATCCATGAGAGCTTAAAGGAACAGTTCACCCCAAAATGAAAATTTCCTGAAAATGTACCCGCCCTCAGGCCAGCCGAGATGTAGATGAGTTTGCTTCTTTGTTTTTTTGCATTGCATCACTTGCTCACCAATGGATCCTCTGCAGTGAATGGGTGCCACCAGAACGAGAGTCCAAACAGCAGATAAAAACCTCACAATAATCCACAAGTAAACCACACGATTCCAGTCTTGTGAAGTGGACATCTGCATGTTTGTAAGAAACAAATCTATCACAAGACATTTTTAACTTCAAACAATTGTTTACGGCTAAAATATGAATCATCTGTCCATAATATTGCTTGTGAACAATTCCTTTAATGTGAGAGGCAATAATAATCATATATTTTAAATGATTTATTATCATTAAATAACAAAATTAGCAATATATATATATAAACAAGTAGTGCAAAATAAAACTGGAAAAAGATGAAACAGAAACCATTTAAAAAAATGTATACAATAAATATTATTATTGGTTTTATTGTTAATAATAATAATAATAATTATTATTATTAAATGACTGTTTTTATTTAGCATTATTTTCTTTGTACGCTACTGAGCTGGAATGGACATATCGATTGACCGTGTCATCACTTCTATTGTATGATATTTGACCAAGCACAGGGCAGAACAGCAGTCGATTGAGTGGAAATTTTCAATTACTATTTAGCCCCCTCCCCCTCCACCCCCTGTCATAAAAATCGTTTGTACTCTCTTATATAACGCTGTCAGTCACACAGTCACAGAGCCAACACATTCACAGCTTCAACACTGGGGGTTTATTTATATCTGTATACACATTTTTAAGTATTTAGTTATCATAAGATGTATTGTTTGTAATATGCTGACTGAAAATATTTACTAGTCCTGTATATATGTCTGTAGGGCACCATCAGCTGCTGCCTTCTCAAACAGCACAAAACGCAATCCTGTGTACATGTGTGTGTGTGATGTTGAGCGTGTGCAGACTCATGCTGCTTCAGAGAGCATGTGTCTGCGCTCAGATCAGGTCAGAGATCCGTGTGTAATTACAGTCCACAGATCAGATCACTAAACTAGTCTAAGCCCATTATACACTTCTGTGCTTCTTTCTTTCTTATTCGCTCTCTCTTTCACTTTTCTGCTTTTCTTTCTCAACAAGATTCTTGGAGAAACAAGCAAAAACAAAAAGAGATATAGCGAATGATAGATGAATGGAATATGATAGATGAATGGAAATAGGCATATGATAGATGAATGGAAAAAAGGAATGGATGGATGGTTGGTTAATGAATAAATGAATGAAGATTTAGATGGATAGATAAATGAAATGTAGTAAATCTATGTGGAAATACACCACTGTTCAAAAGTTTGGGGGCAGTATTAAATAATAATAATAATAATAACAATAACAATAATAATAATAATACTTTTATTCAGCAAGAATGCGTTAAATTGATTATGACAGTTAAAGTGACTAAAGAAAAATGTAGTTAAAATAAGTGTTTTTCTTTTCAACTTTTAATTCATCAATGAATCCCCAAAAAAAAAAAAATAATCGCACACTAAGAAACAAATCCGTAAAATAACAGAAAAAGTAATGGCTGCTCATTGCTGCGAAATTATCCATTAATTTAATAGACATTTCTGTTAGCTATAAAACATGTGTTTACAAGTGTAAAATAAAAAAAAATTCAAAAATGATGATGATAATAATAATAATAATAATAATAAAATTCCTTCAAATTAATACAATACATTGTGTCCTATTTTTACAGATTTTTTACAGTGCAGTTTCGGCAAAAAATTAAAAAATAATAAAAAAAAATCTTAAGCAGCACACCTTTTTTCAACACTGATAATAGGAAAGTTTCCTTGAGCACCAAATCACTATATTCAACTAATGATTTCTGAAGGATCATGTGACACTGAAGACTGGAGTAATGATGCTAAAAATTCAGCTTTGTAATCACAGGAATAAATAACAATTTTATAATAATTAAAATAGAAAACAATTATTTTAAATTGTAATAATATTTCACAATGTTACTACTGTTTTTTTCTGTATTTTGATCAAATAAATGCAGCTTTGGTGAGCATAAGA